CGGCAACTCATGGCAGCCCAGCTCCAGGTTGAGCTGTTGTTCAGCATCTTAGCTGTGGAGGGCAGTGTCACTGGCCCTCCTATGTGGGATCCGAACCGGGGCCCTCTGGCATCCCAAGCGAGTTCTTAACCATCGCGCCACTCGGCCGGCCCTGTTTGATGTTTTTAAGCATGTGTTCTTTTTTGCCTGGATTTGAATTATCCGTGGTCACCCAACTAGATGGTTTGATTTCAAAGACAAAACTCCTAACTTTGCATTTTTGAATAACTGTTTTTAGACATTCTATACATACTAGATATCTTTTGTGTAAAATAATTCCACAAGGTTTGAATCATGTGAATTTGGAATAAGTCAAAGTTAAATACTTTGCTAGTTTTTATTTAAACAATTTTGCTTTTTGAAATTCTTATTATCTTTACACAGATTCTGAAATGAGAGCTATTTACATGAAATCTGTGCGCAGTCCATTGATGAGCAATCGGTACAAAATGATCCATAAGAAACGTAACAACATAAACATTTTCTCACAGGTATGAACTCGAGCAATGTAGTGGAGAATTTCCTGATGATGATGTCAAAATATGTTCCTGTTAATGAAACCTCCATTTTGTTTCTAAAACTGGACTATTGGAGCTAATTGGGATAATTTCTGCCCTGAGTCAGGAAGGCAGACTAAATGAATTCTCAAAGTTCCTGTTAGCCCTAATTTGATCAAATTATCCTTTCTTTAATTTGAGCTACTTAGAATATACTATTACATTATTTTCCAATTAGGAGAATGACTAAAGGAAATAAATAAAGCTTCATTGTCTACTAGTTAAATTTTTAATTCCTATGTTGTCATATTACTCTGGAAAATTTTTTTCATAAAATTTGTTATCTAAAAATTATAGATTATTCATTTGTGGATACTATTTTTATATTAGTCTAAATTTATAAATTGCCCTGTTCAGCTTGATAATACGTTCATTCATATTCTTTGAATATGTCATATATCATCTTCATATGATAACATCATACAGATATACAGATATCATATTATATCTGTATTTCCATTGTGTTTATTATGTTGCACTCATCACATTGTTTATAAATTACTGTTTATTTTTCTGGCTTCCTGCACTAGACTGTTAATTTCTAGAGGTTAAATTATTATCTTTTTTTGGTCCCTGACGTCCCCACTTTCTTCCATAAAGAATATACTTAGTATATACTAAGTATGTTAGGTGAGCAAGTGACTGAATTAATAAAGTGAAATAAATATTCATGAAGATCGCACATACTTAAAAGAATGTTAAATACCTGATGATTTTGTGAAAAAAGCGTGCAATATTCTTATTTGTATTTTTACTATAGATTCCTGAGCACGACGAAACCTACTTAGAAGACAGTTTTTGTGTAGGTGAAGAGGAGTCTAGTGAAAGCCAATCAAGTCAAGAAGTGTGTGTTGATTTTGATTTAATAACTGAAGATTGCTTTGCAAATGGGAGTAAAAAATATAAAACCCGACGTGCAGTAAAGCTAAAAGAAATGCGGATGAGACAAAATGGTGCACGTTCAAAAAAGAAATTATCCAGAATTGTTTTACCAGACGATTCAAGTGAGGAGGAAGACAGCGTAAATGATAAAAAAAAATCCAGTAATGTGGGCAACTCAATCATTGTTAAAAAGAGCCAACAACAGGACCATTGTTTGAATTTAGTGCCTTCTGGGTCTTCCATGCCGGCCAAGGGTCATTCTGATCCAATTGTTAATCAATTGCCAAAGCAGAAACAACAGACACCACTTCATTTAAAGGATACAGTTTCTGATGTCTCGGGCTGCAGGCCTCAGAGCCAAACTGACACTGGATCTACCTCACCATCGTTCACTGCTGTTGATTCACAGAAAGACGGTGGCAAATTCCCAATTCAATTGAAGGTATAGATCAAAGTAGAGGAAAACACCTTCATGTTTACCAAAAGGTGTTTTTTGGTTTGGTTTGGTTTGGTTTGGTTTTGCTTTTGCTTTCTTTTGTGTTTTGTGTTAAATAACTAGATCAGAAAATAGAGCTAGTGGTGAAAAGTCTTCAAACAAGAAAACAGCACACTAAATTAAATAGATAATTCATATATGGATTCTTAGGTTTTAATTTTTTAAATTATGTCAATACTTTCTTAAGAAAACTTGCTAATTTTATAAAAAGAGACTATTGGAAAATGGGCTTTCTGCAAGGTAAAATTAACAGAAGTTACATGCTCGGAACTGGTGTCCTCCAGATTAACTTTTCTTTTCCCCACTGAGGCCTCAGGTATGTAACTCCTCTCCTTATTGGGGAGAGGCGTGTAGGGCACCACCTGATTCCCTTGCTTGGAGTGCCTCCTTCCAAAATGGCGAAGTACTCCAGTTTCCAGCTTCTCCCTGTCTTGCTGTTGCTGAAAGAATCCCTAAAGCCTTTTTCAGTTTTTGAAAGTCTATTGTTACAGTAGTTTTACTAAAATGGGGGTTAAAGTCACATTAATAGGAATCCCTTAACTGTAAATATTGATTTATTTTCCTTTATTGTCAATTGGGAGTGAGACCTAGACCTAGACTTCTGTTTCTCTCTTATTCTGGGTTTCTCAGTCCATTATGACCTAGCAACCTGCTCTGGTTGGTGTGCACACAATGACTCTCAAATTGGCGGTTCCAGTTTCAAATTGTCCCCAGGTTGGTTTTTTTTGTGCAAAGTTTTTTCTTTGGTATAATTAGGATAAAGTTGACAAGTCTTATAGATTGGAAATCAAAAAAGTACTTAATTTCTCTGAGCCTCAGTGTCCTCAGCTATATTATAAAGATAGTAATCCCAAGGGTCAAGGTAGATAATATATGCTTAATACTTTGAAACCCAGTAAGCACTATCTACATTTCTACTTTGACATATTCTAATTAAAAATATAGATATAAGCTAGTAATAATACTTTGAGGACTGTGAAAAAGATACACAGATTTTAACAAAAATGTGTTTTAAATTTTCTTCTGTTATCTAATACTACAATTCCATATATGATTCTTTTCACCGGAAAGTAGGATGGGAAAGAATTTGAGGTAAATTTGAGAAGACAGAAAACAGACTAAATATCCTGTCACAAACCATTAGATATTAAAGACGTTGACATTTACTTAGTCATGTATATTGCCAACAGCATTCCTTGTCTGTCATTCACCTTTTTGTTTTGTTTGTAGTGTTTTGTTTTTTTTAACCATAGGAAGAGGTAGTTATTTTATACAGTCCTTGCTTTTTTCTTTAGCTTTTGACTTCAGTGTCATGTTTAGAAAGCCATTTTCTACTCCAAGATAACTACATATTTCCAGTATTTTCTTTTTTGTTGTTGTTGTTGTTGTTGTTGTTTCAGGGGCCATTTCTTCTTTCATTACATTTATTCTTTTTTGTTTTTTGAAATTGAATATATTTTAAAGATTATTTCTGAGTAATTAGGACTTATGCCTTTAGCTTAGGATGTATAAAGAGCATTGTTCCCTTTTAACAACAACAAAAAGCCAGATAATCTACAAAATCATAAGTTTATTTGATTTTTATGGAGCCGAGGTTGCAGGGCAAGCCATCAGTCTGATATCTAAGGAAAGACAAGTGTCTCCAATGACAGATTTGCTTATTTGGGACAGTCACTGGGCACTACACAATATGGTAAGAATTCAGCTAAAACTTTAATGAACTGCAAAAGGCAGTGGACTAGCACAAGAGTTTAGAACCCCTGGGAGTTGCAGACTGAGGGGAATTTGCAACCTTTCATGGGTTCATTTCCACAGACTCATCAGGTGTTCACAGGAGAGACTGGGAATCAGAGAAAGCCTCCTTCCTGGTGCAGGCCTTGGGGACGTGGGCAGCAGTTACTGTGGAAAAGGCACCAAACCCCTCTGGTTCCTTCTCCCCTATTTGCCCTATAGAACAAAAAGCTTTAAGCCACTAGGAATAGAGTAGCAAACTCTATGGCCCTTAGGACCTAGGTGAAGACCTTTGCAGATGGAGGAAGGGAACAGGAAAAATGCTCTATACCTGAGAAAAGGGCAAGAAAACATTTTGGGCCTAGAACATTAGAGACTTCAAACCACTGAGAGGGAGGGCAGGATCACTGAGAAGGCCCCACCTCTGAGACCCAGGGACACAAGTCCTGCCAGAGACAGGCTGAACTAGGACAACAGACCCCCCGTACCCCTCCCCGCCAGCTTGATGCTCCTAGTGCTGCCTTCGACCAGGCTAACAAGCACCAAGTAACAAGTACAAGCGATCTACTGCTGAGAGAGGAGGAGTATGGGAAGAGAGCCTCGCTGAGGCTCAGGCTCACAGAGAAGACCTGAGCTGACAGAACATTTAGAAAAATCACCTGCCAACCCAGCCCCACCCTAAACACAAAGTAACACCACCAAGTTTAAAGCCTCTAGTGTAGTCACAGCAATAGGAAAACTCAAACCCAATTCAACTTTTTTTTTTTTTTTTAAGCTGAGCCATCCTGCCACCTGTTGGCAGCCCAGCGGCTGCTTAGCTTGGGCCGGGCATCGAACCGCTGTTGCTCAGAGCTCAAACTCTTGAGGGAGCTCTTAACCAACTGAGCCACTCGGCCGGCCCCCCAACTCAACTTTTGACTAGATCTACTCAACCCCACATACTAAAGCCCTAGCAAAAGGCATACCTGTGTCTAGGCATAAATACTATTTACCTCAGTTACTACTGTCCTACACACGATGCTTGGCATTTAACCAAAAGTTACAAGATACATGGAAGGGAGAAAAGAAACACATTCTCAAGAACCAGGCTCAGATATGACCCAGATGTTGGACCTATCAGTATCAGACAGGGAATTTAAAATAACCATGATTAAGATGTTAAAGGCTCTAGTGGAAAAGTAAAACAAACATGCATGGACAGATAGAGAGTATCATCCAAGAAATGGGAAATACAAGAACAAAGTGGAAGTGCTGGAAATGGAAAACATGGTGAGAGAGATGAAGAATGTGTTCAGTGGGCATATCAGTAGACTCAACACAGCCGTGAACAGGACCGACGAACTTACAGCAAGGTCAATAGAAAATTACCCAACCTGAAACACAGAGTGAAAAAACAAACGGAGCATCTGAGAGCTGTGGGGCTGTATCAATAGTCTAAGATACATGTAGTTGAAATTAAGAAGAGAGAACGGGGTAGAAGGTACATTTGAACAGGCAGTGGTTGAGAAGTTTCCAATATTAATGATCATTGGTATGCAGTGTCTTAGTCTCTGTTTTCACTTTTTGTGGTATATACCTAAGAGTGGAATTACTGGGTCATATGGTAATTCTGTGTTTCCCCACAGTGGCTGCACTGTTTTACATTTCCACCAGCAATGTACATTCCAGTTTTTTCACATTTTCATTAATACTTATTTTTCTTTTAAAAAAAAATTATAGCCATCCTACTAGATGTGGTGGGTGGCTTGGTCCTTTATCTACATCGTCACTTTGGTCATGTTGAAGGAAGAAAAAAAAGAATAAAAGTATCAGTAAGGAAAGTCAACTTGAGGTGTGTGGCCCTGACATGTATTTAACCCGATGGTGATGGATGTTTTTCGCTTTTTCAGGTTGGTAGTGCCCTGAAGGACTCCGGCTTCTCAGGAGCATATGGCCCCAGTTCAAGGCTAAGTCTGGCTGGCACACATGCTCCTTCCAGACTCCCACAGGAAGGCCAGAGAACTTGTATTCTGGTAGACAGTCGTGAAATCGCTTCTGGTTCAGAAGTCATTTCTTTCCTAAGAGCCACTCATGGCTTTCAGGTAGAAGTTTGTCCTCTTAACGGTTGTGATTACATCGTGAGTAACCGCATGGTGGTGGAAAGGCGGTCCCAATCTGAGATGTTAAATAGCATTCATAAGAACAAGTTCATTGACCAGATCCAGTACCTACAGAGCATGTTTGAAAGAATTTGTGTGATTGTGGAAAAGGACAGAGAAAAAACAGGTTTGTATTTTAAAATGTTTTTGTTTATATTGCTGTAAAGGAACTTGGCTATTATTTAGTTCATTCTTCTGTTGTCAGGATGTGTGAGGCTCTTATAACACCTGACTCATGAATGCCATTTCATGTTTACATAACGCCATAATGTTTTTCATTAGTCACTGCGTTTAAATGCAGCCCATGAGAATTGAAGGGGGGTAAACGGAAGGCAAGTGAACCCATCATAAGCCTTTTTCAGGAGCCCCAGAAAGGATGCGGTCCTTAAGTAAGGCTGTGGTGGGAACGAGGAGGAGTCGGGAGGTTTAGGAGGCAGGACCAGCAGAAGCTGGCAGGAGAAGCCCAGGCCCGCTCTTGAGTTGATCAGTCTCTTGGTTACCGGGCAGTTAGGTGGTGATGCTGTTTATTGAAATAATAAATATAAGAGAAGCAGCAGATTTGAGGGACAGGGTGTGTTGAGTTGTGAACACATTGAGTTCACAATAGGTCACTGAAAGGGGTGCCTGGGATGCATTTGGAAATGCAGGATTGGAGCTTCATATGGGGAATTTCTATGGGTAATATTTAACTCTGTGTATGGGGAGCCCAAGAATAGTGAAAAGATCATGGGAAATGGAATCAGGAGATGCACTGAGCCCTGGTGCCTATATGGCCATGTGATCTCACATAGACAAGTCAGTCCCTCTGAGGAGTTAGTGATATACTTGTCCTACTCATCTCGTGGTGTTATGAGGATCAAGTGAAATCATGTAGGTGAAAGCCACTCTGGGAGAATTCAAGAACAGCGGTTATTCTGTAGAAGGAAATAATGTAGTTTACATAAAACATTGTTTGGTAATTGAACAGTGTGCCTTTTATCCCCATACAGTCACTGGTGAACCCTGTGATCGTGAATAAGTCACTATCTTTCAATAATCTAGCTTTTTTTGTTTTTTAATTTAAGTGAGGGCTTTAGATTAAGTAATCTCTTGGGTCCCCTTAGTGCTAAAATTCTATAATTTCCTCTTTACCAGCATACCTTTTATAAAGGAAATAGATTTGGAATGAAGAGGCAAGTAACATGACAAAAATTATGGAAAAGTATCTTTTGGGAGGCGGGGGCATATGAAGAATACCCAAAAAAGGATATGGATAGACTATGGAAAGAAAATGAGTGGGAAAGGTAGGAAAGGAAATCAATAGGCAAGAGATAAAGATGACATTAAAATGCGTGTGCAGGGTATTTACTCTTGGAATAAATATATAAGATTTCATATCAGTAAACCAGCACTTAATGAACTCTTCATCAGTGCTAGCATTATGACAAATTTTATTAGATGAGGAATGTAGGCTTGGCCTTTAGGAATGAATGATCTGGGAATCTAAGCTCGTCCCTGCCAACTCACCTCCCTGTGTTGATTCCAATTCAAGACACAGTCAGCTCTCCCTATTTTACATCAGCTATCTAAGAATGAGTTTAAATCTTTTTTTTTTAAGGTTTTTATTGGGGAATTGGGGGATGGGAACAGCACTGAGGAATTGGGGGAAGGGGAACAGACAAGTTGCTGTCCTTTTGTTCTTCAGTCTAGTTGTGGAGGACGTTGCAGCCTACACCATCGCAGGTGACTCACAGCAGCCCAGCTCCAGGTTGAGCTGTTGTTCAGCATCTTAGCTGTAGAGGGCAGTGTCACTGGCCCCCACATGTGGAATCCGAACCGGGGCCCTCTGGTGTCCCAAGCCAGCTCTTAACCAACGCGCCACTCAGCTGGCCCGAGTTTAAATCTTTAGCTGTAGAGTTTCTCATTAGCATGACGTGGCACTAGCTTGCTTAATGGTGTAGATCTTGGAATTTTAATATATCTAGTATTAGTGGTTCTAGTTATGTAAGTTACTAAAGTTTGCCTTTTCCTAAATATGAAATATTTAGGAGACACATCCAGGATGTTGAAGAGAACGAAGAGCTATGACAACCTGCTGACTTCCTTAGTTGCTGCTGGAATCCGAATTCTTTTCAGTTCCTGCCAAGAAGAAACTGCGGATTTGCTAAAGGAACTGTCCTTAGTAGAACAAAGGAAGAATGTTGGTATTCGTGTCCCAACAGTGGTGACCAATACAGGCTATGAGGCACTTAAGTTCTACCTGAGCATTCCCAATGTGAGCTGCGTGACTGCGCTGAACCTGTGTCACCGGTTTCCATCTGTGAAGAAGATGACCAACAGGTATGTCTGTTTTCATAGTTTTAAATGGTTACTTTTGATTTTTAGAAGCATTTCATAGAAATTTTAATATTTTAAACATAAGGAGGTATTGCCCTTGAGTGTAGAGCTCAATAGGGAATCAGAGAGCTCTTACATTAGATCTTGCATTCTAACACTTCTGGGTGTTTAGTTCTATAATTAGAAAAATGTTCAAGTTGAACATTTGCTATTTTTGATTACTATATTGCTTGAAAAGGAAGATTTTAGAAAATAGGTTAAACAAAAGGCCCATGTAAGATGTTGAAATTATTTATATACAATTTTTAAAATATGTGAATAAGTGTTTGTTTTATTTAAACTAATGCTAAAGACATTAACTGGATGTAGAATGCTTAATAAGAGATGCTTTTCTTACAAGGCTTTTTGGTGTTAAGCAAGAAGTCTTATCAGAAAGTTCTAGTGTAATGTTTTTGTCTAATTTATTTTTCAGCTCACCTCAAGAAATCTCCATGTATGCACAAGTAACTCCTCAAAAGGCTGAGGAGATCTATAGATACATGCATTATGTATTTGACATGCAAATGTTACCAAACGGTCCTAACCAAAGTAGAGAGAAATCTGACGCATGATCAGACTGCTCAAGGTGCAGTTATCAAAGAACTCTCATAATACTAAATGCATTTCAGTAATCATTGCTATGGTTTGTGATTGTCAGTCTAAAATATATAAATAAGAGAACATTCCCATAGCTATTTTATATTGTATATTTTTATTTATATAGATTATGTATTTAAAAAATATGTTCAGTAATCATTTTGATTAACTAGACTATGAAAGTTTAATTGAATAATAAAAGATTATTGGTGTATTACAAAAGTAAAAGCTAGAGATGTATTATGGAATTTTCCCAAAGATTTTAGTACTATCATTGTCATGTTAGCATAATAGGTTGATGCATCTGACTGCAGCCAACTTGGTTAGAAACAATTTTTCCTATATATAAACTGTAATATCTAGAATACTATTAATGTCCTGAGTCTACACACATCCTGGATAAGGTGTGGATGGTAGGTGTATTGAGATAAATGCCCCAGTAACTAGGAAAGTGGAAAGTGTAACTAAGTATGTTTATCTTACTACCAAAGGTGACCCAATCAAGTGCTCAAGTCCTATTAGTATAAACTCAAATCTACTTTTTTGTTGTTGAAATAATCATATTCAATGAAGTGATATACCGGCTTGGACTTGAAAAATTTCTTTTTAGTATAAATGAGCTATTGAATGTGGACTTTTATCATGATCAATTATTGTGTCTATGATGTTATTAGTGTTTTAAGATGGGTCCATGTTTGTCTGCAAGAGCTGAGGCCCTTCCTGTAGTCAGTCTAGTGCTAAAGCAGCCTTTAATTACGGACATTTCCCCCCACTTACAGTCGTTTATTCTCTGGTTGCCTTATTTTTTTCTTGTGTTACATTGTTGGGTAATTGAACCAACCTCACAGTAGAGGGCTTTTCTTAAATTGTGTTTCTCTTTCCTTTCTTATCTGATGATAAAAGTGAGGCCCAGAAACAAGTGACTTACGGAAATCAAGAACCAGAAACCAGGAACGATATATATTGGGTTGTTGGATAAGTCATGACACATTTTTGCAATGAAAAACAGAAAAAATACATGACTTTTCCGACAACCTAATAGTTCTATTTTGCTAAAAAGTTATTCTAATTGTAAACTTAGCACTTTTGGGATAGTATAAATTCTCAGTTCTGGGCTGGCCGAGTGGCTCGTTGGTTGAATTGACTTGGGACGCCAACTCTGAGCAGTAGGGCCCCGGTTCAGATCCCACATGCGGGCCAGTGACACTGCCCTCTACAGCTAAGATGGTGAACAACAGCTCAACCTGGAGCTGGGCTGTCATGAGTCGCAGGCCATGGCATGGGCTGCAGTGGGCTGCTGTAATCTACCGTGAGTGGCTGGCAGCCAGCGTGAGCAGCCGTCCAGTGGCCAGCGACCAATCTGCCTCAGCCGTGAAGAGCACAATGATCACAATACCAGCATGGGCCAGTGAAGCGACGCCCTCCACAACTAGACTGAAGAATAAAAGGACAGCAACTTGTCTGTTCCCCTCCCCCGATTCCCCAATAAAATCTTTAAAAAATTAAAAAAAAATTCTCAGTGGTTCTGCAAGTTAACTGATCTCACATTTCTGTTGTTCAATAATTGGCAAAGCCAGAGAGAAAAGTTCTGTAAGTTATTGGCTGATATGCAGTTACCAATATATTCTCTCTCAGGTTCAGATTCACCCTTCAGTATCTTGAGCTCTGCTGTAATGGACTGGACTTTCTGAGCATTTCTTCCTGTAGTGAGCCTGATTTAAGCTGTGTCAGGAAAAGGGCTTCTCTTTCTGGCTTGTGTGCTGCTTGCTCTCTAGCCCTTGATGCAGCGTCAGCAGTGTGTGGGAGGGGACATCTGCGGTGTTCTGCCCCAGCTGCATCTGGGAAGCATGCAGCTCCTCAGCAGCTCACACTGACCTGGGCCAATGGCCGTATTGTGGCACCTCCCATGCAGACACCAGCGTGCTCAGATTCTGTGTCCACCCATCAGGCAAAATATTCCTCAATTAACATGGTGTGAGAGACATAACTAGAGTTCATTTATTTATGCTTGCTCTGTAGAGAGCTCTGTCCATATTTAAGTAGCAGTAGCTCTCACTGGTAGCACTCAACTATCAACCCTATTGATTATAAGTCCATTTTACTGTTTTTCTTTGAGCCCTTAAAGTATTTTCCACTTTTAAGTCTTCTCTGGAGGTTACCTCAAACCTTATTACTAGCTTACCTTATGGCCCGATGGAAAGAAATGGGTATAGCCACAAACTAGGCAGGCGGGACACAACAGAACAGACTAGGAAGAGTGCTGGAGCAGTTCTGATAGGACACAGGGAATATATGGTGGGGGGCGGTGGAGGTCACACTTGGTTTGTCTATGACATTTCAAAATTACCTTTTTGTTTCCCATTAAGGAATTTAACTACATTTTAATTCCTAAAACAATGTTAACATCAAGCAGCATGGTGTTATACTAAATATTGGCAATGTAAGTTCTACAACTCTGTTTTTTAGAGCCACTCTAAAATAACCCTTTTATTTGTTCCATCCACATCTGTCAGAAGTCTTTATAGCAGAAATGAGCATGGTAGAGTAGTTTAAAGGAGAATGAGCTCAGTCTAACTGCACTATTTTTTTAAAATTTATTTTTAAAATTTTACTGGGGAACAGCCATGGTCATTGGTTACACTTTGCTTTCATGCTACAATGGCATAGTTGACTCTTTTAGCAAGGGCGCAGCTCAGTGTCCCATGCGAGGATCAGAACCAGCAATGTTTGTTATCAGCACAATGCTCTCTCTAACCAACTGAGCTAACTGGTCACCCTGCACTATTCTTTTTAAACCTTGTGTTTCTATAAATCTTATAGTTACAGAAGTGATTATTATTGACTAAATTCCTTAAAAAAATTTTTTTTGGGGGTCTTTTTTCTTTTGACTAAATTCTTAAGACACAAGAAAAGTTCTGGAATTTTTTGAGGAAACAAACTGAACCAGTAACAAAATGTGTATCTGTTTTGTTTCTGTGATCCAGTAATAAAAAACAAACAAACAAGTAAAACACACATTATAAAAGCAAACTAACTTTATTTGGACAACCCAACTGGAGAGGAAGGGTAGAGGAATATGTACTATAACCAGAGGGGAATATTCTATGTCAAGTTTTAAAACATAATGGTAGAATAAGGTAAAATAAGTTTTTGTTATTTTTTAAAACAGCTATCTGAAAGGAAAACAATGTTTACTATGACTTATTAACTTGACTCCTTATGATGGTAGCCCTATTACATGAATGTTTGTCTAATCCAGTCTTTTTAATACTGAGATCAAAGTTAAGCTATGTCTGCATATGTAAATAAGGCTTAAGAATGTAACAAAATCTGTTCTTTGATTCTACCTAATAAAATACTGAAAAAGCAATAAAATTTACATAGGTTTCATAGATATAACAACCAGAAGTTTTAAGAAAACCAATCAGGAGAAAAGAAGCCATACCAAATAGTTTCAAAAACATGTAACTGAAACATTATATTCCAAGTGGTGGAAAAGGCTAACTTAAAGTTTTCATGAATTTAGTAGCTACCAGTACAATCTGCTTTTATTCTCCCCCACTTCCTCCCTTCAGGAAAGAAACATTTTCTTGAAAGCTTTTAAAAATCCGGTTTGGAACATGATTCTCTTAAACAGATTTAGATGTTTATGAGAGATTTAAATATATTTTAACATAGCAAAAACAGAAATTTAGAAATATCTATACAAGCAAAATAATTTTTTCTTATATTTTAGTAAACTAGCAATGAGGAATATTCTATAGAAAGATCTTTAATTTTGGATACAAACACAAAACCTTTGAAAAAGAGTCCACAATTTCATGTGAAACTACATTATAAAGAAAGTATATGTATTCCAAATGAAGATACAAATACACTGCTTCTTGATGAAAATTCTGGAAATATTTTCTCATATTTACTCTGCAGAATCAGAGTTTGAAAAATAATAATCTTTCTCTTCTTCATCTAAAGAATCCATAGCATTAGTGAAAAGTTTTCCAATAGTAAAAGTGTTTTCTCCTAATTCTGTAAAGAAAAGTTTAATAAAAAAGATTAATACATTTCTAAAATAATTTCAAATCCAATGAAATTGAAAATAACTATAGGAATCCAAATTGCAGATCTGCCCACTTGAGAGCAATTAATTTTAGTACCATGTTAATAAAGAGGCTACCCTATAATAGAACTGAGCTACAAAAAAAGATAAGTGTGTTACCTTTGTTAAGTGGGGCTTTTCTTCTTGATGGTGGAGTTGAAAAATCACTTTCATCCTACAAGAGAGTTCATATTAATAGCTAAATGGTACCTCCTGTGAAGCCTGCCTAAAACCTAGACAAAATTAAGCATGCTTTATCCCAGAGCACTTATACCATCACCTAGTCACATTATAATTATCTGTGAAATGTCTCTTTGAAGTTGAATTTATCTAGGGCAAGAACCATGACTTATTCCATGTCTCCCACTGCTGGCATCATGACTGTAAGAAAACATGACAAACTAATGAACAGCAGTTAAAGGATAGTGTAAGGGCCTCTGAGAGTTGCCCAAACCTACTAAGTACTTATTCCACTCCATTACACTGGCAAAATTTAAATTCTCTGTACTTTAAAATCTTGGTTAAAATGCTAATTTATATTGGAAGCTTTAAGTGTCTAATGTAGGCTTACATACATGAGTACTTTCTAAACAATTGGCCATAGCTGATTATCTTTAGAAAATGAAAAGCAACAGACTAGAAAATAGGGCAGAGAATACCCACTATGCTAAGGGTGTATTTCTGAAAGAAACATTTGAGATACAAACTTGTGTTCATAAATTGTGATGTAAACATATTTTTTTCCTGTGAATTAAGTCAAAACCCTATTACATCATTTAGCCCTCAAAATCATTTGGTGAAATATACCAGTATCGTCATGACCCCCCCCCCCCCCCATCAGACCAACACAAAAAAAATGAGACCAGAAAGCCTAAGTAGCTTGCTTTGTCATAAAGCTGGTATGGGAAGTCAGACCTTGAAATCAGAGCTTTTAACACTAAATCCTTTGCTCTTTCTATCCTCACACATTAGCTACAAAATATTAGTCTACAAAATATTAGATACTGTAATTTGGTGGAGGGCTCAAATTATAACCCATTAAGAAAAACAAAAGCCTGGAAGTAGTTAAGATGTCAGAAATAGAAATAAAAGTTCTTTAATAGGAAAGGCCCCAAGCCATTATATCCCTATGAACCTGCTCTCATTCTGCAGAAAGAACAGTGGACACAGAGATAACACTCAATGTGGTCTGTGCATCAGCAGCATGACTGTCACCTGGAGGTTATTAGAAATGCAGAATCTCAAATCTGCTGGATCAGAATCTAGGGTTTCACACGATTCCCTAGTGACTCCCATGCACTTTCAAGTTTGAGAAACACTTGTCAAGGTAACCCAGCTTCTTACTGGCAAAATAGGATGAGAAGCCAAGGCTTTGTCACTATATTAAGATGATTCCTGGTCCTTCGCAAGAAATCAAAATTTAATTTTCATAAGGAATGTGGGACTGGAAAAGGGGAATCTAAGAAACACTGAAAGTCTGCCTATATCTTCAATTATGGAGTAGAGATTTCTTTTGAAGAATTTAGTCTCCAGGTTGATTTTAAACCAAGGCCTCAAGAGGTATCTACTATTTCCTGTGGACAAGTGAAGCCCATAGGTTGGATGTGATTATATAATCCCAATATTTAGTTTGGAGACTCCAAGAGGAATTAGATCTAGCAAGTGTGCAATATAAAGATTTCAACATGGGTGAGGAAGAGAAGGCCATGATGTGGTCAGAAGGAATATATACCATCAGGTATATATTCTACTACCACAAATTATTGTTCTCTAAAATAAGCACTTGGGTTGGCGGAGTCGTGCATTGGTTAAGAGTTGGCTTGGGATGCGAGCTCTGAGCTGCAGGGCCCCGGTTCGGATCCCACATGAGGGCCAGTGATTCTGTGCCCTCTATAGCTAAGATGGTGAATAACAGCTCAACCTGGAGCTGGGCTGCCGTGAGTGGCCAGTGATGGCATAGGCTGCAGTGGAGCTGGCTGGCAGCTGGTGTGAGCAGCTGTCCAATGGCGGGCGAGCGACTGCCTTACCTGGGAAGAGCGCAATGATAATACCAGCATAGGCCAGTGAAGCAACGTCCTCCACAACTAGACTGAAGAACAAAAGGACAGCAACTTGCCTGTTCCCCTTCCCCGATTCCCCAACGCTGTTCCCTTCCCCCAATTCCTTAATAAAAAAAATCTTTAAAAAAAAAAAAAAAAGAGCTCTTTGCTTTGAGGAAATTTGAGGTAAATTAGCTTTTCCAGAATACTTGTAAGTTTATCTGGATGTAAGTTATCCAAATTAAAATTAGAACTTAAATTTTTTAAAATTAATTAAAGAGGATAAAGGATTCTCCTAATCTTTTAGCAAAGGGATGTAGATATACACTCTATTAAGACAACTTTGAGTTAAAATGTTTTGTGTAATTACATTTTAAATCTTGGGATACACACACATACACACAAATATATATATGTAGCTGAATCTGAAAACATTTGAAACCATTTTGTAGCTGCACAGGATTTGATGAAGCTTCTTATTCTATCACAACCATAATCCAGTTAGTCTGGATTATTCCCCAGTTGTGGAACAGATACTATGCTTTTGTGTCTTGCCTGAAAGGTCTTTCCCTGACCTGTCTGTACTTTTCCCACCCTGACTCTTTTACCATTCTCACTTTCCTCAAATGCTTTACTCTATATCAAGTGCCATCTATAATCCTGCACACTTATGAACTGACCTCATTTGTGGCCTCATATTATCATTTACTTGAATTAGGCTGTAGGCACCCTGAGAGCAAGGACTGTTACATAACCTATAACTCCCACAGTGTGCAATATATTATAGTTGTTCAATAGATATGCACTGAATAAATCTAGCGTGAAGAAAATACTTACTGTTTTTTTCTTGATATTGCCCCAGACAATGCCACCTTTACTTTGACCTTTTTTTTGCATATGAAAAACATATTTATCACAATCATCCCTGTTTGAATACAAAATAATTTCAAGTCAACATTAACTACCATACTTTTATCCACCAGGTTAAACAATTGACAAAATTAATTTGTTTCGATCTCAAAAAGTGTATTTTCCATTTTTAAAAAGATAATGGTAGGGGGGTTATCACCTGGTGAGGGGTGAAATGTCTAACTATTACATTGTTTTGTACACTTGAAACAAACAAAAAGACAATGGTGTACGTAGGAAGGTGGACAAAAATCTTCATACATTCATAGGAAACAGAAACACCAAATAACATTCTAGGAAATTATTATTGTTCCATGTCCCGTTTGTGCTCTTTCCAATCTCTACCTTGCTACCTCTTTCCCAAAACTCAGAGACTTCTTATCTCTAGACTCCACTTTTTGTTACACCTTTCACGCCTTTCACCGGGTCACCTCCTTCCCCATCCAGAGAGAACTTTAAAGTTGACCACTTTAAGGATAAACCTGGTGATGAAAACCTCCATTAATTTATAGCTTCCAACTGTGTTGTCTTCCTTCAGCCCACAAGCCTTTTACATCTACACAGTTACATCTTTCTTACATTCCCCAACTGTGTATTTCATTTCTTTTTCCCGTATCTCTTTCTCCTCTCATTTAACAAATAGGCTTGATTCGTAATTTACAGGTGAAAACTGAAGCCAAGCAGAATGCTTGTTCTCATTTCCCCCACAATTCCTAGTCCTACTGATGACAGTTAATACCAGCTGAACACAATGCTAATTTTCTCTCGTGGCTCCAAGACCCTATAAGATTGATTTATTATCCTTTACGAATATTTGGGAGAAACCTTGCAAGTATGATGGAGAAATCTGTAACTGTGTGATTGTATTAAGATTAATGTGAAGCACAAACCCTACTGCACAGTGAGTGAATAAGCCCCGCCAGTGTTCAGGATAAGGGCCTTGGGAGTCTGTTGTCCTGCACAGAGATCACTTCCTAAGTGATAAACACTGTTTTATTATTTAAAATTTTATAAAAATTTAGTCAACTAGAGCTGGTGAAGTCAAGTGATAGTGAAGAGGCCTAGGAAACCCAATCTTTAAAATACAAAATAAGTTTTAAGAAATATATTCATGATATAAATGAGTCCATCATGTGCTAGTCTATAAGAAAAAGAGTCCTATTTCCTTAACTTTAAGTGATATAAAAAACCCCACCACAACCCACATCAGTGTAATTAATTCTCCAATTTAGATACTGGCTGATGTTTTTGGTCAAGAAATTTCCTTTCTCTTATGAATGTGTGATGTAAACTGGGATCACACTGTATGTAGTTTTATTTTTTAGCTTTTAAAAACTTGAATCCCCTGAACATTATTCTGTCATTAAAATTTTTTGAAGACATGATTTTTCATTGTTATATATTTTACTCTATTATATGAACAAATCCTAATTTCTTAACTTTCCTTATTGGACAATTATGTCCAAATTTTCAGTATTTTGTTTTCTTATGAACATCTTTGCCTAAATCGCTTATTTCCTTAGACTTGACTAATAAAATTCAAGGGCCAAAGGAATGAATATTTTAAAGCTTTTGATGAGTTGGCCAAAGTGCTCACCAAAAACTTGTCCAAAATCATACTCTCCATATACTTTCACCTGCGCTAAAGACTAAATAAAAAATAAAAACTAATTTGTGGATTGCTAGGGAAAAATTATGTTTTTGTCAAATAAATGCAAATTAAACTTTCACCAAGCTTCATGAGTACTGATTCCTTTTTTCTGAGTCGTTATCATGTGGCTTCTGCCTGTCCCACCCCATGGAAATTGTTCTTACTAGCTTAGCATTATCCTGCTTAACTGCCAAAGGGCACAGCCTATTTTTAGGCCTTCTTATCACTTTCTATTTTTTCTTTACAACATTTTACTGCTGACCAGCCCTAATTTTCTTAATTTTATTTATATTTCAAATAGTTCCTATACTTGCCTAGTTCAAAATTCAAAGTCTCCCAAGATATTATAGTTTCTCTCTCTAGGGATTATCAATGCTTTCAGTTTTTTATGTATCCTTTCAGAGATATTTAATCATAAATTACATATATATATGCGCGTGCGCACACACACACACACACACACACACACACAGAGTGGTAACACATAATTCACTATATCTAATTTTTTTCACTTATGGACATTTTACTGTAATAGTAGATAAAGAATTTCTTCATTAATTTTTATAGCTACATAATGTACCAGAAATTATTTGATTAGTCCCTATTGATGGACATTAGGGTTGTTTAGTCTTTTGCCATTATAAACAATACTGCAATGAATAAGCTGAACATTCACAATTCTACAAGTAGGACTGCTAGGTCAAAGAGCAATACGCATATAATTTTGATAGATATTGACAAAATGCTGCCGATGCAGATTGAGCTCATAATTTACTTTCTCACTAGTAATGCATGAGAATAGCTTTCCTAATTTGTAGTACTGTGTATATCAAGGAAATCAGCCTTTTTCCTGTGGTGAGTTCCACATGTTCTTTTCTCTGATGGTCATTTATCTTTTCTTAAATTTATTGGTTAATAGTAATAAGATTACATAAGTGTACAGTTTTATACTACATCACCTATATGTTGCCTTGTGTGCTCATTGCCTAAAATTTAGTCTGTCACCATATATTTGACCCCCTTTACCTTCTTCAACCTCCCCCACGCCCCTCCCCTTTGGTAACCACACTGTTGTCTGTGACAATGAGTTTTTTGTTTGTTTTGTTCATTCACTTATTTTGTTTTATATCCTACATGAGTGCAATCATGATTCTTCTCCTTTTCCATCTGACTTATTTTGCTCAGCATGATCATCTCAAGATCTGTTGTTGCAAATGGCACTATTTCATCTTTTCTTATGACTGAGTAATATTACATTGTATCTATGTACCACATCTCTTTATTCAATCATCTATTGAAGGACACTGGTTGTTTCCATGTCTTGTCCACCGTGAACAATGAACATGGGGTACATATACCTTTACGAATGTTTCCAAAATTTTGGGGGTAGATACCCAGAAGAGGAACTGCTGGGTTATATGGTAAGTCTATTCTTACTTTTTTGAGGAACCGCCATACTGTTTTCCATAGTGGCTATATAAATTTACATTCCACCAGCAGTGTATGAGGGTTCCTTTTTCTCCACATCTTCTCCAATACTTACTTCTTTGTCATTATTCTTTTGATTATTTATGGTTGGTTCATACCAGATGAAACATTTTTACATAGTTGGCTATCCTTTTTTCTTGGTCCTGCATCATAGTTAGAAAGACCCTCACTAATCTAAGATTATAAAATAATTCTCCAAGGTTTCTTTTTGTAGTTTAATTTTTTACATGCAAAACTTTGGTCCATTTGGAATTTATCCTGATGTAAAGTGTGAGCTGTGTCCCAACACTACTAAACAACACCCTTACTTGCTGAAACACCCCTACTTGCTGAAGTCAAGTCCATCCTTGACTTCCAGGAATATTCTTTCTTGATTTCTTAATAATGATGACTCTTCTCATTACTGACATTTACTCTCTTCAACTCCTAAAATGTTAAATGCTGATACCGAGTTACAGTATCATATGCATAATACATACCTATCTATCGAGGCTAGCATTCCAGGGCTGACATGCTGACACTGAGGGGTCTTTGCCAGTGGAAAAATAACTGATGACGGAGTTGTTGGATTTCTGTCCATCTGAGGCAGAATGTCATCTTCTTGACTACACTGGAAACTCGGCAACTAGAAAGCAAATATTTATTATGAGCAGGCACCCCTAAGAAATAAAATTTCTTGTTAGACAAAATGTTGTTCGTGTGCTGATAAGTTTTTTCCACCTTATAATTTTCTGAGATAATGAAAAATATTAATAGGTAGAGACTAGATCCTCATCTTCTAAAAATCTTAGTTTCTGTGGTATAAAATGGAGACAATGTCATCTACTTTTAAAAGTTGTGTAGGCCAGGGGTCAGCAAATGTTTTTTACAGAGTCTTTGTCCCAATTACTCGACTTTGCCATTGTAGCATGGAAGCAGACACAGCCAACATGTAAACACCGGGCAGGTCTGTGTTCCAATAAAATTTTGCTTAAAAAAAAGGTGCTATGCTAGATTTAGCCCATGGGCCATAGTTTGCTGACCTCCGTGTAGACAGAACAAAACTATAATTCATTTACTACTGTACTTAATATGAACTCAAGCAGTATTAAACTATTGTGTGCATATATTTCCAATAAACAATTCAATCCTTAAGATTTTACTCACTTTCATATTAAAACCTTAGAGAACATGGACTTACGCCACAGAAGGTGAACTACTTCACTGCTTTCTTTTTTGTTTTTAAAATGTTGCTACTATTGCATTTAGGCCAAAATATATAGAGAACCCGAAATGATGGTGGAATAAAATACAGGGTACAATCCCTAAAAGATCATGATGGTTGTGCAAAGAACATAGTTAAAACCTCAAATGGCTCCCTTAAAATACCTCCCTTTATATTCTGTGTTGACAAAAAAGGGGACCCAGGTAATGAGGTCACTAAATTACTAAAGCACTGTACAACCTTTTTATTTTTTAATTTTTTATTTATTTATTTTTAAGATTTTATTGGGGAATTGGGGGAAGAGAACAGCGCTGGGGAATCGGGGAAGGGGAACAGACAAGTTGCTGTCCTTTTGTTCTTCAGTCTAGTTGTGGAGGACGTCGCTTCACTGGCCTATGTTGGTATCATTGTGCACTTCCTGGGTGAGGCAGTTGCTCGCTGGCCATTGGACGGCCAATCACGGCAGCCCACGAAAGCTCATGCCAGCTGCCAGCCAGCCCTACCACAGCCTATGCTGTCGCTGGCAACTCACGGCAGCCCAGTTCCAGGTCGAACTGTTGTTCACCATCTTAGCTGTAGAAGGCACAGCGTCACTGGCCCTAATGTGGGATCCAAACTGGGGCCCTGCTGCTCAGAACTGGCGTCCCAAGCCAACTACTAACCAATGCGCCACTTGGCAGGACCTAGCTCACTAATCTTAATGTTCTCAACATTTATATTTAGATTCTAGAAAGTCTCAAATTTGCACTTAATATTTGTACTTATTTCACTGTGTTTATGAAGAACATCTTTAGAGGATATATAGATTCCAGTTTTTTGCTGTAAAGATAAACCTGCAATGAATACCGTTGTGAAGATTTTTGGCTTCTTTTCATTTTCTTAGGATAAATTCCAATAAGTATAATTAATCTTTATGGCTCATATATTGCCATAATGCTTTCCAAAAGGTATGATTCAATTATGTGCCCACTGATGTATGACTGGATTAACATCTCGTTTGTTTTTTGTTAGTTTTTAAAAGATATATTTACATATAATTTACTGTTTTCTTTTGATCACTAGCTGAAATGACCATTTTCCCAAGTGTTCATTCAGCCTTTTGAATGTTTTCCTTGCCTACATATTTCCTGTGATCTTGACACTTTTTATAATTCTAGTAACATTTGAATGAGTTCTCTATATCATAAATATTAGCTTTGTTTTATTTGTTACAAGTATTTTATCCCAGTCACTGAAATTTTTAGTTATGTGATTTTTCATACTACAAAAATTTTTTTAGATATTCAAATGCTTCAATCTTGTGCTATCACTTAATCCCCACCCTGAATTTTCTACACAGTAGTTAATCTTTTCTTACCCCCCCCCACCACCCCCCTAAAGTTTGCCTCCTTGCATATGAAATTTTAAATGTACATGTTTGGCCTATTTCTAGGTTTTCTATTTGGTTCTACAAACATTACCTTTGAACCCCACTGAAGGGTAGATTCTGGACACTGATGAGAATGGCATGTACTAGCAGATTGCTTCCTATATTATACTTTGGTCATGTCTGTGGAGACTGTCAATCCTTGGCCTAAATATTAGGGATGAACACTAACCATATATAAAAATCAAAGATATAAAAGTCAATATAAAGAATGCATTTAAGACTCTTACCAGTACTCTTTGATTCTGCAAAGGTGTCGTACTGAAAAAATCATCATGGTCATCTTTTGGCAACTGTTCCAGAAAATCCCTCATCTGCCGCTTCCTTTTAAGAGTTCCCACTTTGGCAGTTATCTTAATAGTTTGCTTCTTATTAGCATCATCTCTCTTGCCTTAAGAGTCAGCAAAACATTTTGGTAAGGATTTGGTCATTTATAGTAACTTCTATAAAATTAACAACCTTTGCAAAATCTAAATGTATTCATATTAAGTACACTCATTTATAAGTCTCTTATATATTGGATATTTGGAAAAGTAATGACACATGTTTGCAACAGATGGCACTAGTTCATTTTTGGAAGTACTAGAGTGATTCGCATCTATGTTATTGCTATGTCATTTGACAGCTGACAGTTCTAGCTTCATTCTAAAAAAAACTGAGAGATTTGGTTGAGTTTTGGAGATTTTACAAGTTGAAGACAGAAGACCAAACTATGCATTTTTGCCATATTTTACTGTTTTACTTCCACAAAGGGAAGAATGCGTGTCAAGCTTGTTAAAAGTTGCATAGAGTTTATGGTGGTGACAATGCTCTACAAGAATGTCAGTGCCAACGATGGCTCACAAAATTCCATGCTGGTGATTTTTATCTCAACGACGCTCCTTGGTCAGGGAGGCCCACCAAGGTTGATGACAACAAAATAAAGGCATTGATCGAGTCAAACCCACGTTACACGACACGAGAGATTGCAGCAACACTGAACATCCATCATTCAAGTGTTCAAGACCACCTGAAGAAGCTGGGATATATAAGCAAGCTCTAATTTGGGTTCCGCATGAACTCAAAGAAGTTCATTTGATGGCATGTATAAACATCTGCAATATGCTCATTAAACGTGAGGAAAACGATCCTTTTTTGAAACGACTGATAACTGGTGATGAGAAGTGGATTGTTTACAACAATGGTCTTGGTCCCAACGTGATGATTCACCTCAGACGACACTGAATGCAGACATTCATCAGAGGAAGGTTATGCTCTCAGTGTGGTGGGATTTTAAAGGTGTCGTGTTTTTCAAGCTCCTAACAAGGAACCAAACAATCAATTCGAATGTGTACTGTCAGCAATTGGACAGTTTGAACGAATGCATTATCCAGAAACGTCCAGAGCTTGTTAATTGTAAAGAAGTTGTGTTCCATTGAGACAATGCGAGACCACACACAAGTTTGTTCACCCGTCAAAAATTATTGGAGTTTGGGCTCTGAGCAACAGTGGTTCGATGCCCGGCCCGAGCTGAGCTGCCAACAGGTGGCAGAATGGCTCAGCTAAAAAATAAATTAATTAATTTAAAAAATTATTGGAGCTTGGATGGGATGTTGCCACACTCCCCACACTTGCCTGACCTGGCGCTGTCAGACTTCTTCCACTCGTTTCGCTCTCTTCAAAACTCATTGCGTTGTATAATGTTCAATTCAGATGAGGCTATAAATCAGCACCTTGTTCAGTTTTTTGCAAATAATGACAAGTCCTTCTATGAACGAGGAATTATGAAGCTCATTGAAAGATGGCAAAAGGTTATCGAACAAAACGGGCAATAGGATTGACCTTTGCTCTTTATGTAAATAAATGACCTTTGAAAAACATACACAAAATATGTCATGACTTTTCCGAAGACCCAATAACAAGTCATTCTACACTGGGATCTCTGCAACATGCTTAGCCCACAAGATACTCATGAAGAGACTACATAAGATTAGGCAGGATAAAGTTGAAAAGGCCTTTACTTTGTGAGAAAAGTTATCTCCCACACTCCTTCTACTGAATGTCTAGTTTATTGATTTTGCTGAAATATAAACCTCATTGAATTAGGTGAGATACTGAATACTCCCTAAAGCATAGTACAGGACTTCTCTGGCATAAACATTGGGCACCATGAAAACTAAATTCATTCTGAGTTTTCTTATGAATTACTAGGGGACCCTACCCAAGTGGCCTCAAATTAAATTAGACCCTTAGAACAATAACCCAGATATTGAAATCTCTGCATCCAACTGCAGATTTCCTAGAACTCAAAGCACAAAGCTGCTAAGGCTAATATTGATGGAAGTAACTATTTAGGAAGACTTAAAAAGTAAACATGATTTTTGAGTTCTTTCTGGCTTTACAATTATGAGAACACATCTATAATAAGACACACGAATAAATATAAAATATATATAGTAAGTGATTAGAAACTGATACGGAGAACTAAGAAAAAACTATTTACTACATAGGTTACCATCTTGGCCTTTGGGGCTGACTGGCTTTTTCTTAGTGACATGTTTCCGGGATCCTTTTCCTCGGGGACCTTCCATGTATTTCCTCTGGCATTCTTCGGCAGATCGAGAACCTACGGTCATAGCTACATCTGACCAGAAACCAGGTTTGTGCTTAGGAAGAGATGCAAAAGCACTATGAAAGAATAAAACCAATTAAAGAAATTCAAATCAATAAAAATAACCTCCTGAATGCATACCACTAAATCAACAAGATTTACTGAGCTGATGAAATTTTACCAAAATCATTCTTATCTAGTAGATGCATTCTATTTTGTTGTAGTCTATTAAACCTGAAAAAAAATCACTCCTAGTCTTAAAAGATTTTTTTCCTAAGTCCAACTAATAAATGATTTGATCTTCTGTGGGACTCTAGCACAACTAACTTTTCTATCCTGTTGCTCAAATGATACTGGTGCTAAGTAAGTATATTGGAAGATGAGCTCTTAGTTCCTATATACTCCAGGTTATAAACTGTTACTAAAAAGTGTTATGCTTGCTTTCATTATATCATACTTTATAGAACACAGCAGTTTAGGTATAATACTTGAGGGATATGAAAATTGAAACAGAAAAAAACTAAGTCAATATAAGGTAGTTCTCCAATTTAACAAGTGAGTCACATTCTAAAAAGGTTTATTTAGGACCTGGTACACGTTACTGCACCCCCAACCCAACCCCCAACAGATTTTATATAATGTAGTTAGGTTGACAGTTCAGCCTAGTTAGGTTGAATGCAGTAAATTTTTATGATGGTCAATTTTTAACAACCAGCTCTCTGGAGTTAAAAAGTCCTTTTTGTAGTGTTTGCTAATTTTCATATTGCTAATACCCCTAATGTGGCTGATTTCAAGCTACCAACGTATTGTCACTGAATGAGGAATAAGAAAACTGTGCCATGGCACGTGATTATATAGAATTCCCACCCTACAGATATCATAGGTGCAAAGAACCTTAAGGTTTACATAATAAAATGTACTAAAATAATTAATGATGAGTTTAGAGTGTTATTTTGTTTTTAATAAATGTATTTAACTGTAAGCTAATTTCATTTTTAATAATGACTTAATTTGTAAGATTCCTGAAAAATTAAGAAATCGGTTCTTGTGCACAGGTAAAAGCTGACTACAGAATAGCACTCGCTCCAGGCATAACAGGAGAACAAATGCTGGTGGGCACCACACACTGTTGATGACTGTTCTGGGCTTTTGCATAATGAGTCTCCACAGGTTCCGAAAGCAGCATTGCAGGGACCAGAGGCTCCAGCTTCCGTATCTGTGCACACCGCCAATCTGCACGTCTAGAGCTGCCTGAAAGGACTTTCGTCATAGTAAAACTACTTAATGCATTTCATAAGAAATTAGGCTGTAATTAACACGTGTCCTCCCAAGTCATTTTAAAAGGCATACGGTATTTAATCATGTCACTCTAGTTCAACTTATACTCACTTCATTATTCTTAGCACAGAAATTAAAATACTTACTACGACCTACACTGTTCCTTGCCTGACTGTCCAGTCTCATCCTGTACTGCTTGTCCCTCGCTTTTTATGCTCCCCTCATTTTGGTCTTCTTTCGGTATTTCTAAATAGCCTCCTCTTTTCTATTTTTTACCTACTGTTCTACTTCAAATGCATTTATCACCAATCTTGGGCTTAAATAATTCTTATTTATCCTTCCAATCTTAGTTCAAGTATCTGTCTGAGCTAAGTCAGATTTCCCTGACTTGTATTCTCATAAGTTTCTTACAGTGATTACACTGATCATTTGCTAACCAACTGTCTGCCCTACTAGGTTATAAGCACGATGAGGTGTCTGAAGCAGTGGACTGCAACTAAGAAGCACTGAGGAGCTTATAGCAAAACTGCAGGCAAGCAAGTAAGCAAACAAGTAAAGTAAATTCATAGGCTCTACCCCTGAAGGTTTCAATTCAGTAGGTCTGGGTGGCAATACTTAGCATTTTTGAAAAAGAGGCATTATGTCTAATTGAGTGGGTGATGATAAAGAAAGGTTACAGGGAGGAGGTGATGTGAGATAAATATTGAACGATGGATAAAAATTACAACAGGTGAAAATGAGGCAATAAAATAGACAAAGAAATGAAGTTGAAATAAGACAAATGGTTAAGGAATGAAAAAAATAGCTCATATTTATAGTATGGTAAATTTTAAAGAAATGGCTGCAGGTCAGAGCTTTGAAAAAATCCAGAGAAACATAACCCAAACCCAAGAATATTTTCATAGTATGCAGTCTAGGCAATTTTTAAATTTTAAATAATCTTTAATTTTTTTTTAAGTTACCATACAGTAAAATTGTCTTTTGGGGTATGGTCCTGTGAACCTTAACAGGTGTACAGTTTTGTATAACCATCACACTGAAAAAAATCCCCAATGCTACCTACTCCTTTGTTGTCACCCAATAACACTGCCAATCCCTGACCTGTTTTCTTTTTCTGGTTGTCTTTTCCAGAATTTTATATAGATGGAAACATACAGTAATGTAACCTTTTGAGCTGGCTTTTTTCACTCAGCATAATAATGTCTTTGAAATTCATTCAAGTTATTTTAAGTATCAATAGTCCTTCTCTTTTATTATTTAGTAGTCCATTCATCGCGAGAATCTACCACAATTCATTTATGCAGAAGGTACTACAGAAATCAGGAAGAAAGATGAGCTCAGTAAAACCACCCCATAAAGTTATAAACTTCTGGGCTTACCTTGTAAATTTTGATAAATTTTCAATTTTTGCTCAGTTCAGCATAATTTCCCTTGAAACTTCCTCTTTGACTCACTGATTCTTTACAAGTGTTATTTGATTTTCAACCACTTAGAAATTTTCCTGTTATCTTTTATTGACTTGTAGTTTAATTCAGTTATTGTTAGAACACCCTTTGTATAACACTTCAGTTATTTTAAATTTAAGGTTTGTCTCATGACCTAGCAAACACAGCTGTCTTGGTGAATGATCCACCTACCCTTGGAAATAACATCTTTTTTTCCTTATTATTGGGTAGACTGTTCTATAAATGTCAATTATATAGTTGGTATTGTTCAGTTCTTTTATATCTTTGATAATTTTCTGTCTACCGGTTCTATCACTTACCAAAACAGCAATGAAGTGTCCCACTATAATTGTGGATTTGCTTATCTTTTCAGTCCTTTCCTTTTAGTTGTCAATTTTGATGCATCTTTTTGAGGTTCTGTTGTTAGGTGCATACACACTTAGGATCATTATGTCTTTCTGGTGAATTGATACTTCTATCATTTTGTATTGTATTTCTTAATCCCTGATAATTTTCTTCTTACTGAAAGATTTCACAGGTATTAGTACAGTCCCCTTCAGCTTTCTTTTGCATTTGCATGATATCGTGCTATCATTTTAATTTACCTATGTCCTATTTGAAGTGAGTTTCTTTTATACAGCATATAGTGGGATCTTTTAAAATTTGTTTTGACAATCTGTCTTTTAAGTAGTGTGTTTAGACTGAAGAGTGAAGATAGGGAATATATAAAATGAAGTCACTTTAACCAAGCTGGTAAAATTAACCCGATGAAGGTTGAGGCATGAGGAAAGACCCCATGCTTGTTCTAACTAGCCTGGGAACTTAGTGTTTTGAAGTTCCCAGTCCTGCATCAATGCCTGGATATGCATCTGGACCTCCAGATAACCCTCTAATTACCCCGAAGGACTCGGGTATCCAGGCCACCTCATTCACCCATGAAGGACTCATATTCATCCACCTGACATCCATTATCCAGACCACTGGATGTGACCAGACCTCCTGGCACTCATCTTCCAGACCACCATCCATCAGCCAGACAACCTGTCATCTGACAACTGTCCTGAGAATGGAGGACTGATGATTCTCAAGAAGGTACTTTTAGCTGTAAGAACTTTTTTTTTTAATTTTATTTTTTTTATTATTTTTTAGCTGTAAGAATTTTTTTCTCTTTTCTGTGGAACACTTCTGGATTTTTTCCTACCTGTGTTTCCAGTTTGCAAACTCTAAGGTCCTTGAATAAATCTCTATCATTTATTTCTAGCAAGGTCTCCAGGCTCTTTTTTGAGTTTATTCGACAAGACCATTAACATTTAATGTAACTGTTTGGATTTAGGTCAGCCATTTTATTATGTTTTCTGCTTTTCCCCATTTTCTATTTCTCCTTTTCTGCCTTCTTTTGAGTTAAATTTTTTTTTTTTAGTATTTTAATTTACTTATTATATATTTGAAGATATCTGTATAGCTTTTTACCGGCTGCTCTAGGGATTAGTATATACATACTTAACAGTCTACTTAGAATCAGTTATTTTATTTCTTCAAGTAGAATGCAAAAGCTTACTATCATATAAATCTCTTCACCCTTCCTCTTTACGTTAGAGCTGTTTTATGTATTACATCTACATATATCGAAAGCTCCACCATACAGTGTAATATTTGCTTTCAACCACTGGACATTTTAAAGAAGCCAAGGGAATAACCTATTATATTTAACCCAGGTTAGTTACCATTTCTCTTGCCATCCCTTCATTCCAGATACTGCCTCTTTCCTGTCATCTCCATTCTACTATCAGCCTATCCATGAGTTATTCTGATTATCTTATTTTTGAGTTCTACAATTTCCACTTGAATCTTCTGTATATCTTCTATTTCTTGCTAAGACTTTCTAAATTTCCATTTATTCCAAGAATATTAGCTCTTAGTTCCTGGATAATTTTTATATACCTGCTTCAGAATCTTATCAGATAATTCCAACATCTGTGCCATCTCAGCATTGGCATCTGTTTTTTTTTCCCATTAGTTGAAATTTCCCTGGTTCTTTGTATGCTGAGTAATTTTGGATTTTTTTCCTACATTCTGAAATTTATTTATAAAACTCTGGGTCCCGTTTATATTCTATGGAGAACATTAATATTTTTGTTTTAGTAGGCAACCAACCTCGTTGTAACCTGAGCTATAAATTCCAATCAGTCTTCTGTAATTGCAATTTCAATGTCAGTTCCACTTTTTAAACTTTGTAGTGCTATTAGGATATCCTGCATGTGGGGCCCTCCCTGAGTGGCTGGCCTGGAAACTCAGTGATGGTCTACCTCTTAGTTCTCAGTCTTAGGTATGCTGTTTAGGATCAGGTCCTCACATGCACAATTCAGAGGTGAGCCCAAAAGTTCATAAACAACTTTACAGAGTTTTTAGCTAGCTCCTTCATCTCTGATTTTTGGTTCCCTAGGGTTCCTGTTTTGGGTTCTCTGACAGAAAGGTGGGGGCTTTCGTTACCTAGCTCTGCTGCACACTTCTTACAACTGCATCTTTTCCAGTGACAAGCAGAAAGGACAGAAAGAGAAAAACACAACATGATTTGCCCCACCCTTTTGAGATCTTTACTTGATTAGAGAGGAAGGTTCCCCACTTTCAGAGTTGTAGGTATGTGTAGGCCCCAAATGCTGCTGTGATTTTCCTTCCTGAAATATTACATGAGGCTGGGTTATAAGAGAAAGGAGAAAAGAAAAAGAGACCTGGGCATTTTCTCTACTGTGACTGAGAGTTAGTAGTCCCCTTTACTGCTCCTCAAGCCAGAACTGGAAGGCTTCTCTTCTTGCTGTCATGCCCCAATGACACGTCAGGTGTTAGGCAGCCTTGAGGTTAGCTTGGGGGATATCAGAAGACACATGGTAAATTCACTGCCAGTTTGGTGGTACTTAAAATTCTAGTTTTCTCTTATCAACCTACTACGATTTACCTTCCTGAGTCAACAAAAAGCTGAGCCATGGATTCTGTCTAGGTTCATGGTTGCCCAGTAGAAGCAAAAAAGTGAAGTGTACTTACTCCATCTTACTGGGATATGGAATTTCTGCAGTTCAAGCATCAAAACAATCTCCTTGGATGACCTGAATATATAGCCAAGTTTGAGAACCTTTACTGTAGGAAATGATGGGGGGATGCAGCTGGGAAGGATAACTGAGGTCAAAATATTGTATGCTCTCAATGCAAGGCAGAAGAATCCTGATATAATTTGAAGATTAGCAAGAATGCAGTGAAGGTTTTGATGTGTCAAAACCACAATTATACATTAAGACTAATCTGGAGATGTATAAAACAGATTACACAGACAAATGAACAAAGTAAAAATACAAGGCTCCTTTCATAGTTCAGGCAAAAGGCATTAAAGGTCTGAAAAAGTGTAGTGTCAAGAAAAAGGCTGCAGATGGAATGACCCTGTGGAAGAATCTAGAACTCCTTGGGAACTAACCAGATTAAAAAAAAAAAAAAATCAATAACAATAATAGAGAGTCTAAACTTAGGTGGCTGAAAGAATTACAATTTCAGAACCAGGGATGTCAGGCAAAGTAGACAGGCAGGGGAAAATAAGTTTGGTTTTTGATATATTAAGTTAGAGCTGTAGGTAAGATTTATGTAGAGATGTTCAGCAGGCAGAGGACTACAAACCTAAATAAATTCAGGACCAGGGATAGAGATTTGGAAGTCCCTGTACAAAGAATAATGAGTGTGGGAGGAAAAGATCACCAAGGAACACACTACAGCAAGAAAGCAGCCAAACCAAGAACTTTGGAGAATAAGGAAGATGACCTTCTCTGCCTGAAAAGAGAGAAAGAACATTTAGGCAACTGAAAAAGGAAGAGAATGGGGGCACAGAGATGCCTTAAGAAGTGTGTTTCAAGAAGGTGGATTTGAAAACAAATTCCAAATGTTACAAGGTTGGGGGATACACAAGAGAGTGGAACACTAAATGTGGCACGTTTCTACGTTGTCCTTCTATCTTTTATCAATTATATCTTCCCGTCTTTCTATTAGGTCATTTCCGACAGCAACCACCAACACATAGTGGTGGCATGTGTCGCCTTACGAATAAGCAAGCAAACAAACATGTCTTCCCCTATCCTCACACTTTCTTCTATTACCTATGCAGTTTTCTGTGCCCCATCATGGTCAAATTTCTTGTGTTGTCCACCTAGGTTGCTTTTCTCTCCCATTCACTATTCACTGTTCAACTCTGACCTGGCTTCCAGACTACTGAGGCTGTTTGTCAAGTCTACATAGGCAAATCCAGTTCTCATCAGACCTGACTTTGCAGCAGCACTAACTAGGAAAAAAAATCACCTAAATTTCAAGACTATTTTCTTCTCTATAAATGAAAGAAAAAAAAAAAACACCAAAAACCTATTAATAATCTACGTTTGAAGGTTTTATAATAGTAAATTTAATTATATTTCTTAAACATAACTGTGAAACTGTGAGAAGAGCATTTGTCTGTGTTGAAATATTTTCCCCAGCTTTATTTACCAACAAATAAAACTATATATTTTAAGTCTACACATGATCATTTGATATACATATATATTGTAAAATGATCATCACAATCAAGTTAATTAACACATACATCTCCTCATATAGATATCTTTATGTGGCGTGGGGAGAGGGGTTGAAATATTAAATGGGAAAGAAAAGTAGCTGACTTTTACTTTCCTCACATTTACACTGTATAGATGGCTACAAAATACCTAGTTGAAAGTTATCTGTATTTTCCCTTCATTCTTTGTATAAACTATAATTTCTCTCCATTTTTTTTTTGGATAACATCTTCCATATTAATGATTAGAAAGTCATAAAACCAGCCCCTTATTGGAGTCCTTTACATCTCCCAATATTTTGTGGACACTCTAGATATTTCAGTCAAATCCAACTACTTACCAGTGAAGTTTCTGTAATTCCTTTTCGTTCCATTCCTCATCCTGAATTAAACCAGGTAAACGTTCTAAGGAATGACTCTTTGTCTTATCAGATCCCATGGTGTTAACTGGAGACTCATGTCTAACACCAGATCTCTGAGGATTTTTTTTAGCAGAATATCTAGCTTTCTTTTGTTTGATACAAAATTCATCTTCACTTTCTTCAGTTTCAGATTCAGAAACTGGGATTTTCCTTGTGCTTTTTCTCCAGTGAACCACTGTTTCTTTGGTATTTCTTGCTATGGTTTTCTTAGCAGCCCCAGCTTGCATTCTAATTTCCTCTTCCGTTTTACTCTTGTCAACAAACAAATCTGATGAGGACTGATGCTTGTAAAATGACATAGTTACTTGATTTTCAGTTTTCTTCGATTCTGATAAACTTATGTTTTTCTTAAAGTCAGAGATGACTGTTTGTTTCTTTCCAGGACTAGATACTTTCATTTTCTGGTTGACAGTGAGTAAATCATGCTCACTGCAAACTCCCTTGTTTTCAGTTTTATGACTCACACCATAATCAAATGTATTTTTAGAAGTCTTCATGGGCTTACTGATAGAACACGTAGTTTCATTTAAGTCTGATTCACTTTCTTTTTGATGCTTTGGCATTACAAAATTTGTTATTGCTTTAATGTTGTCAGAGGACAGATTATACTTCATGCATTTTTGCTCTATCACATTTTTAGATTTAAGTGGTGTTACTACAACATAAGCTTTCTTCTGACTAGCAGCCATATATTTTCTTTCTTTGTCTGAGAAAGACAGTTCCCTGGTGATAATATCGATGGGTACATTCGATTCTTCGGTTCCCTCTTTAATTGCATAAGACAAAACCAAAGATCAAAATCTCAAATTGGCTACAAACAAAATAAAGTATAGAAAAACTATTTTCACAAATAAAATAACACTGTTTTTTTACCCACAAACACCACTGTACACACTACTGTCATATTAAGCTTCCTAAAGCACTGGTCTGTTCAGTTTTGGATCACTACGCTTTCAGTTGTACCCATATGATGTTTTTTTATACCAACCTGTCCACAACTTCTCACAGTCTACTTGGTGTGCATGTAAGCTCCTGTATCTGGCCTTCAATGTAGTTCTAATCTCTCACTGTACTCCTATCTGAACCATATTCTATGTCTACGAGACCACTGTTTTTAAATTTTTCTTTCTTTTTTTCTTTTTAAGATTTTATTGGGGAATTGGGGAAGGGAAACAGTGTTGGGGAATTGGGGAAGGGGAACAGCCAAGTTGTTGTTCTTCAATTTTAGTTGTGGGGACGCAGCTAGCTCAGCTCCAAGTCCAGTCACCATTTGGCCACCCATGGGCAGCTCGTGGCCTCTCAGCTTAAGTGCCGTGTTCAATCTTAGTTGCGGGTGGGCGTAACCACCATCCCATGCAGGAGTTGAACCAGCAGCCTTGTTGTTAAGAGCGCACGCTCTATCTACTGAGCCATCCGGGCGGCAGCTCAGCTCAAGGTGCCAAGTTCAGTCTTACTTGCAGGCAGGCGTAGCCCACCATCAAACAGGGAGTCTTGTTGTTAGGAGCACGTGCTGTCACCAGCTGAGCCATCCTGCCACCTGTTGGCAGCTCAGCGGCAGCTCAGCTCAGGAGCAGCGTCACTGGCCCATGTCAGAATCGAACTGGTGGCCCTTTTGCTCAGAGCTCGCGTTCTTAAGCTAACTCTTAACCGACTGAGCCACTCGGCCGACCCACCAGAATACTTTTAAATAATGCCATCTTTGACAATGTGCTCTGCATCATAATTACATACTTCTCTTTCAACTAGACTGAAAAAAATCATTACTGGAAAGAACTGTCTTCATATTTGGTTTTGGCTGGAGTTAGTTCAGAGTCTTTCACATATACAGTAGGTGCTAAATAAATATTTGTTGAATCAGACTCTTTAGAACTAAAATATTTAGGAGACATAAGAAATCCACCAGGTTGCTAAAATCTTACTAGGTATGTACTACATGGAATAGAGCCTGTCCTAGTTAAGGAGGGGATTAGGAGAACATGGAACTCCATCTACATGGCCCATTCTCGTCCTGATGATGGTCACAGGCACCTTTCTGCTGAATCCCCCAAAAAATCCATGAAGCATATGGGATAATAACTAAAATAGAACTTGGGAATCTTTATACTGTGTCACTAAAGAAAGCAAATTGAAAGAAATTCTCAAATTTGAAACTCAATAAACCAGAAGTGAAACAAATTTCATTTCCATCTAAATTATCCAGTTGTGGTTATAGATACAAATTGAAATTATCACACTAATCATCACAGTGAAATACTGCAACAACCTATACATATTATGTGGCATTTTAAAGATGAATGACAAAATAAAAGAATGATGGGTAACACTGACTGCTGAGGAGAAAAGAAGCCTCTAAATTCTAATTTATTAAGAAGTGGTAGCAATCCAAAGTATTGGGTTGTCGGAAAAGTCATGACGTATTTTTGCAATGAAAATAAAAAAAAAAATACATCATGACTTTTCCGACAATCCAATAATTAAGAAAGTTTCTGTAAGACTTCTCAATGGAATCATATAATGTATCTTCATGTAAGACAGAAGTGTTTTCTTCTAATTCCTTATATATAAATATGATTCAAATGTTCAATTGGTAATTTTAAAGTTTTGAACTTCTAATTTTAAGCAAAGCATTTTTATTCTGAGTATTTTTATTCATTTCATTAAATAATTTGAATAAAGACTCAGCCTTTTCTGGATACTTTGACCTAAGACGTATGAATCTGGTAGTCTAAGTAACTAGTGCTAGTTTCCTCTCTATTCCTTTACACAATTATAAATGTTTCCACTTTTATTTTTTTCACTTATAAAAAATAAAACAGAAAAAAAATGCTATTAAGCTGATGCATTTAACTCAACATGAAATTATAAATTTGCTAATGCATAGAGAAAAGGATCTATAAATTCTGGTATCCAGAGTTGCAATGAAATCACTCTGAAAATCCACATTTACATAAAACTAAATTATGGTATTAATTTCATAAGAGGATTCATACAGTCTTTAGATATTCCTATAAGCATTTTTAAAATGATATATAATTTTGTGATTTAAACAAAATTATTTAATACCTAGATTAAAGGAGGCAAATCTATAAGTGAATCTGGTATTTAAAGTAATGAATTGTTTTATTACATAAATCATCTTTATAAAAAAAATAAAACCAAACATTTATAACCATTGAAATAGTCTACCATTTTAGATTTAGAAATTTACAAGATCACTCTTATAATATAAAAAGCTTTCAAACAATAGCTTTCTACTTATTACAAAGCCAATGAAGATGTATTACCTTGCTTCTGACTTTTAATTATCGTTGTATTTGTTCTTTCACAATTTTTGAGTTTCTCTGAAGACAACTTTTTACATTTCTTTTTTCTCATAAATTCCTTCAAAACAAAAGATAACTTTTTACTATAACAAGTACTACCTAGAAACATGACTTCAGGCATTTTCACAGTATGTATCAAGCATACACATTTTTAGGTAGTTCTACAAATTTCATTAGTGGAGGCATTCAGAAACTCATTTTTGGAAGCATCATTTGGGTATCCACTATCTTATATATTTCCTTTACTGATTTAATACTGTCATTTTTCAAGTGGTTATATATTTTTATTTTTTTTTAGCTGAGCTATCCTACCACCTGTTGGAAGCTCAGCTGCAGCTCAGCTCGGGCTGGGACTCGGACCGCTGTTGCTCAGAGCTCACACTCTTGAGTGAGCTCTTAACCAACTGAGCCACGTGGCCGGCTCAAGTGGGTATATATATACACATATATACACCTTATTTTAGCCTTATTCTAAGAGCTAAACGTTTTATTATTGCCACCTGCACTTTTCCAATGAGAAACTGGGAAAATAAATATCAAGACATTTACCTATAGTGCCCACACTAATGAAAAGCTGACACTTAACAAACAGAACTCATAATTTCTGATTTGGTCCCGAACCTTTTTAGTAGTATCACGTCACCACTCTACAGTACAGTAAAAACTTACCTGATTAGATAAATCACATCCTCCTCCATTTTGAATAGTATTATTTGTTTGGTCACCTGGGAGCCTTAATGGTGGATTATTTTGGTGATTACTCTGGCAAATATTTAATTCTGTAGCTCCTGGTAACCTACTGTTTTTACTGTTCTTTAGTTCTGTGAATACAAAGATGGAGATTTCAATAAATGACTATAGAAAAGATAAGCTGCCCTTCCACATTAAATAATTCATTAAAAAATCTGTCTATTCCAATGTCACAAATATTTGTTAAAATTTTATTATAAAATAAAGCAATTTTATTTGACTAGAATCACTCTGCATGGGGCCATGTTTTGTTGAAATCATTTCTATTATCTTCACACAAAAAAACAGAGAAAAACTGGACAGTCATATTATTCATTACTATCTGTTTTGGATCTCCTTTATACATTTAAAGGCAAAACAGAAACATTAAACCATTTTGTAAATAAAAATTCATGTTCATCCAACTCCACATCATCTAAACAGAAAGTTAAAACTCTATTTCCTTTATATTTCTTCATGTATATTGAATTTTTATGGTTCAAATAGTTCATGTTGTTCAATATATAACTAAATCCACACTAATTAAAATTTAAGCAAAACCAAATTATATAATATACAATATAGGCTCAACAGATGGTTACTGAGCTGAAATTCTAGATAAGTTAAAAAGGACTCGTAAAACTATAAAACATTTTTATTATTCTTCCAGAAGCTGTACTTGATGATACATAATGAATGGTCCTTGCTTTTGAGATTATTACGGTACAGTAAAGGAGGCTGACATAACAGATCATTTAAAATATACTGTTAAGTGTAATAACAGATAAAGTACTTTAATAGCAATACTGTGTATACAGATTATAGCTAAATATGAAAAAATACATTTTACGTAAATTATTAAAACACACACACACAATCACATCATCCTAAATTATCATTAGTTGGCGCTTTTGCATAACCTTAGTTGTTTAATGATAGACGTACTTTTATTTTAGTGTTTTTTTTCCACGAAAAGTATAATGATGATTAACAATGAAAACAATAACAGCACTAACCACCACCATTCAAAACTTACGTTAATATGAAGACACACACAGTTTTAACAGTCTAATAAAACAAAGATCTAATGAATTACACTAGAAAAAGGATACATCCAAAATACAATACAGTAATATCTGCCCCTAAACTGAGCTTTCCAAGGGGAGACATCTCATCTTATTCATCTCTAAGTTCTTAACAGATCAAGGTTCATGGAAGGTGCTTTAAAAATATTTGAAGGATTTTCCTATGGACACAGCTGGCATGTAAAATAGTTCACTAAACTTTAGTTTCTTACAATTTGTGTCCTCAAACACTTTCCTAGTAACACTTACAAATTCCTGAAAAACACTGCTATAAGTGAAAGGAAGGGGAGATGTTAAGATTTAAGATTGAAGATTTAAAAATGATTGAAAGTGAGATATAAGTTTAGGGACTTTTAAATTTAGAAGTAAAAAAAGTATATAGCAGGTGCTACAGACCCAGGACTCCAAAATACTCAACGGTGGTCTAGCAATGATAATAAGCAATGTGCCTAATTTGCAGGAAATGATGACTTTTGATAAAATGAGGAAGGGGTGAGAAGGAATTGGAGCAACAAGAAGTGATTTTTAGCTAGCTCTGGGCAAGCAGTCATCTGCATCTTTAATTCATTCCTTTGACTGTACTAGAAAGAATGAGCAAAGTTTCAAAGGTGATGGGGGGACTATGGATGCAGGGAAATGGAGTGGGGTGGGGTGGAGGAGTGACTTATATTCAGTGTGGCGCCAGGTTTTGAGCTGAAGCAATCCTGAAGTCTAAGTTCTGTAAAGCTCTTTGTTACAGGGTCAAAGTAGAATTGGCAGAAATTTATACAACAGAATCTATTATTATCTAGAAAAGGCTATAAGTTAATGTCCATACTTTTTTTCTTGCAGGAGGTAGGAGGTGAAGCAGATTATAGTTTTGGCAAAGAGTTGACAGTTTTGCCAGCTACCTTTGTAGCAATGGTCATTCAAAAAAAACATGCCATTTCCTCCATGAAAGCAAACTGGTTTTGACTATTAATAGGAATGAAATTTAGTACAAATATAGAGGCATCTATAATACAGGTTTGAAGTAGACTGGCAGCCTAAATACCTTGGGTCTAGGAAACTGAAATCATCACCTTTCACAGATATGTTTATTAGTGTTCTTGGTATTCTGATTAATTAAAGGGTAACATTTATAGTCATGGGGATGTAGGGTATGGCATAAGGAATATAGTCAATAACACTGTAATAACCAGGTATGGTGTCAGATGGGTACTAGATCTATCAGGGTGATAGATGGGAATGGGGTTGGGGGCAGGGTGAAAGAGTGAAGGTATTAAGAAATACAAATTGATAGTTAATACAGTATGGGGAATCTAATCAACAATGTGGTAAATATCATGTAAGGTGCCAGATGGGCACTGGGCTTATCAGGGGGATCATGTCACAGACTGTGTCCAATGTGCTATACAACTGAAGCTGAAGTAGAATAATATTGAATGTCAACTATAACTAAATATATAGGTATACATAGTCACGGAATGTGGAGTACAACATAGGGAAGATAGTTGATGGTATTGTAAAAGCTATGTAAGTTGTCAGAGGGGTAGTAGCTTGGGGGGTGCGTTATCACTCTATGACATGTTTAAATGTCTAACTATTACATTGCTTTGTACACCTGAAACTAATATAAAAAAAGAAAAAAAAGAAAATCATTTAAAAAAAGGCAATATTTAATGAAGTAAGCTGAATGTTGACTATAAGCTATCTGCTTTGCAGTTTTTCTCCCTTAACTAGTGAAAAAGCAGGAATTTTAGGACAGTATAAATAAGTGAAGAACTCAATATGCATTGTAAACAATTAAACAATGTGGAACTCATGTAAGAATTTACCACTACACCAACAGAGGAGAAAATAGCAAACATACCCAAATAATCACAATCAAGCTCATGAATGGTGCCAGGTTTTTGGAGGACATCTGTTTGATTTACTCCTGCATCACTTTTCATTGATTTTTGTGGGTCAGGGACAAATCTTCCAGTTTTCTGTTTTTGTCTGGTCTTTTCCTTTTCACAAGCCCTAAAAACATATACAGTGCTTTTCCTCTAATGTTAGTTCTCGAAAAACGGAAACAAAAAATGAAAACTAAACCCACAAATGAAACTCTCCTATACCTCAACCTTAAATGCAACACTAACACTAACCCTAACTATAACATACCAAACCTAACCAATAACTCTAATCCTAACACTGTTCCTAATTTTAAACCTAACCCTAAACCTCCCTCTAATTCTAAACCTAACTCTAACTATAACCCTAATTCTAAAACTTAACCCTATCCCTAACAGTAACCCTAAACCTAGCCATCACCCTAACTGCAATATTAATTAAGCCTAACCTTAAAATTAACCCTAGCCCTAATTTTGAATCCTAACCCTAAACCAAAGACTGACCTTAATCCTAATCCTAAACTTTAACTTTTTAACCCTAACCCCATACTAATCCTAAATCTAACCCTAATTTTGACCTCAACCCAAACGCTGACCTAACTTTTAAGTTACCATAACCCTATATCTAAAAGGAAACTGCCTCAGCTATAACTTTCTTCCCCACAGCAAATATTACTTAATTTAATCTTATATTATTTAAGCTTTCATGGCTTCTACCCTTCTCCTACAAACAACTCAAACACAGTCAAAAGGTTCAAATATAACCCCTTATGTGCTTCCTACTTTGTGCTTTTATATTTCCTACTTAAGCTGATATTGTAAGAAAATTACAAGACAAATCCCATCAGTTGCTTATTTTTGACAAAGTTTACTAAAACATAGCCACATTCATTCAAGCACTGTCTGTGGTTGCTTTTCCTCTACAAAGGCAGAGTTGACTAGTTGCAACAGAAGCAGCATGCCCATAAAAATACTTAAATCTCTAACCCTTTACAGAAAAAACTGCCAAGCCCCATTATATGTTATTAAATGGTACTGTGATTAATTAACTTATGCCACTATATCCCCTATGAGCTCCTTAAGGGCAAGAATTAATCAATTTCTTCTTTGTTTTCCCAGAGTCAACACACTATGTACTAAGCAGCTGACACTCATTAACTACAGAGGGAATGAATTAAATAAAAAGGACCAAGAACTTCAGACACATATTTCAGCTACATGCCTCTTAAAGGGTAGATGATTAAGGATGGTTCCTTGAAATATGTCAAAGATTCTATTTTCCTTTTAGGTTTATCCCCATGACAGAAATTCTAGTAAAGTGTTACTGTCTTCTGAAAGTCTAATATCAGAGAGAGCTTCAAAACTGGCACTTCCATAAAAAGAAATTAAAACCACTTTACACTGGTTACATGAGTACATACATTTGTAAAAGCTCATCAAATAGTATACCTAAAATGAGCACATTTTATCAAATGTAAATTATGCCTCAATAAAGTTGTTTTTTTAAAAAGTTAAAAAGTACTTTACCTTAATTGTTCCAGAAAATTACTGATGTACTCTTTCCATTTTTCTGGAAAGCCAAACATAAACTTCCTTATGAGATAATTTGGATATCCTATTTAACAATAAACAAATTACTGAAAAGCCTAGAATTTTAAATAGATGTCATTAATTCATTGTATCTTTCAAAAAATATATACTTATTGTTTACTGTGTGCCAGGCACTGAAGATTCAGTAATTAACAAAACAAACAAAATTCCCTGCCTTCATGGAACTTGCCTTCTAGTGTGAAACAGAAAGCAAACCAATAAGTAAAATATCTTGTTAGATGGTCACTGACGCTATGAACAAAAATTATGCAGTTAAGGAGGAATAGGGATACCAATGTGTTCATGCTAGGGGAGAAGACAGTATTTTAGAAAAGATAGTCAGAGATGTTCTCACTGAAATAGCATCATTTGAGTAAAGCCCTGAAGGACATGAGGGAGTCAGCCATGTGGCAACACAGGGTTAAAACACTGGAAGCAGCAAGAACAAAACAAAAGGCTATGAGGCAAAAGTGTCTTGCCTGTTTGTAGAACACAGAAGTCAGCTTAGTTGAAGTGGAGCAAGGAGAGGCTAGTACTAGGAAGCTACTCAGACAGCTGTCAGGGGCAGTGAGAGAGCACGGGAGAGGATAAGGCCTTGGGGTCATTTCACAGACACCTAGTCTTTTACTTTGGGTGAGAGGTGAAGCTATGGAAAGATTGTAAGCAGAGGAACCACAGGATTTGATTTTAACAGGACTGTATAAGCTTCTATTTTGAGAAGAGTCTGTGGCAGTACAAGGAGAGAAAAAATGAGACCAGTTAGGAGGTTACTGCAATGGTTCAGAAAAGAGAAGAGGGGGCCGGCCGAGTGGCGCGATGGTTAAGAACTCGCTTGGGATGCCAGAGGGCCCCGGTTCGGATCCCACATATGAGGGCCA